AATTCTCATATATGAGATGCATTATTATGCATATAATATTGCATTCATATATACTCCAGGATTCCTAAAACAAGCAGCACTTAAACAGATGTGTAAAGTAATACATTAAACTGCATAAAAATAATACTAACACTTACAAAATGCAGAAACAGAGTACCACATTGGGCTTGGTTCTTTAACATGCATAATACATATGGTTTTTGCACATTTTATTTGCACATTTTTTTGTAAGTCAGGCCTTACAAAAATGCACCTAATAATGTGTAAGTGCTCAATTCAAGAGGCAAAGCTCAGCTGGGTTGGAACTGCCAAATTCTAGAAATCAGTTCAAAACTGAAATCGCCTTCATTCCTAGCTCCCAAGCTGCCAAGGAGAGCTCAGGTGTCCATAGCCAATTGTTTAGATTCTGTTTAGAATATTCCTCAGTTATGTATTTACCTGATACCAAAGGCCTTGAAAGGGCAATTTTATGGTCTATTGACTAAACAGCAGCTAGTGAAAATTATACAGTTTAATGGATGAATAATGGCTTTTAAAACAATTCCAAACGCATGCTGAACCAGGGGTTTAGGCAGCAGAAGACTACTTCACACTAAAATGACTGTTTCAGTATGTAGTTACCTAAAGCAATCTGCTATAATGGCCTCTTAATCCTCATTATACTCAGATCTCTACCATGATCTTTCATTCACACAACACCATGTCCCGCAACTGAGCCTTAATCAAGATGGATCTTGCTCGAATGTAAGGAAAGGCTGGGGAACTCTAAGCAGCTGTAATGTGGAGCCAAGAAGTCTGCAAGTGGACATTTCAATTTGCTTGCTTGGTGGGATGGGCAGGGTCTGTGGCTTCATGAGGAATTTGGGATTGAGGCTGAGTACACACTGGGGATGGAAGCATCTTTCGTTTTCGTTCTCACAGGTACTCATTTTTCCAATCTTAATTTCAGCAAACTATTTTCCCCAATACAAAGCATATTTGTATGTTATTTTCACTAATATAATAACACCTTCCCCTAACACAGGCATAGGCAAACTCAGCCCTCCAGATGTTTTGGAACTACAACTCCCACCATCCTAGCTAACAGGACCAGTGGTCAGGGATGATGGGAGTTGTAGTCACAAAATATCTGGAGGGCTGAGTTTGCCTATGCCTGCCCTAATATATGTATTTTTGTAAAGAGGGACACTTTGTCAACAGCTGAGAAATTAGCTACTTTTGTCTCCCCCTCTCCTTAAACATTTCTAACCCCGCTGGTCAGTAGTCAAACTCATACCTAAGAACTTATTTCTGTGTTTCCTTATTTCCTCTTCCCTCCCAATCTACTCTCCTTTTGTGCTGTGTCTTTTAGATGGCAAGCCTCAGGGCAGGCTCTGCCCCTTGTTTGCACAGATCTGCAAACTACTCTGGGAGCTTCTCCTTTTTTTTGGCTCAAGAGCAGGATATAATTTCCGTAACTCTCTATGTTTCAACCCAGCAAGATAGTACAAGCTTGTGTGGTCCCCCCCACCTTGCCCTTTTTAGTAAAGTAGAACTAAAGAATCTAAAATAATGGACAATTTAAACAGAAGATAAATGCTGTTTCCATACTTCCTCTCTGCGGCTTTAGTTTGCTGTTGTTATCTGACAGAAAGCCTTGGTCCCCTTCCTACAAACTCTGCAGGAAAACGGCTGCCCCCTCAGGAATGTAAACTTGGCATGCTTTTCGGCCGGTTTCTGACTGTCTCTCTCTTTCTCATGATAACAAAAGGCCTACCCCACTATCCCACTGCTAAGGTCAAGGCTCTGCTTACGTTGTATAGGTGACCATTCATGATTAGAAATGCTTCACGTTCTTCCAGTGAAATTATTTTCACCTTTCCAATAAGTCTTCAGCTCAGTAGGAGCTAGGTTCTGTGAACTGGGAAAACTCTAGTTCAAATGCCATCTAGGCTAGTTCAGATGTAGTGCCCAAACCATGGTTTAGTCAACATGTCTGAATTCCCCATCCTTTATGTTTTCAGCGTTGATCGTGGTTACAGTGCAGGGGTGGGGAGCCTTTTATCATGATCTGCCTCACAGGCCAAATTTCACAGACGGGGGTGCGGTTTCCACCCACCTGTCAATCGCCAGACATCACAAATGATGCCAAATGATTTGGTGCTCTGCAGTTCGTTGGAGCAGGGCTTCCACTGTGGCTGCCCCTCTTCTGTGGAACAGCGTTCCTGTCAAAATACGACAGGTGCCCATTATCTGTATTTTCCAGAAAACAATTGTAGACACTTTTGTTCCAACATGCATTTTCCAGCTGAAAGAAAAGGTATTTGCCTTAAAGATGTTGATTTTTAAAACTATATTTAGTAATTTCTTCTGTTCAGTTTTAAAAGCCATTTTAGTTGTTTTGTGATATGTATGCAAATCTTCAGTTGTAGAAGCTGTACATCTAAACAGTACAGTGGTACCTCAGGTTAAGTACTTAATTCGTTCCAGAGGTCCGTTCTTAACCTGAAAGTGTACTTAACCTGAGGTACCACTTTAGCTAATGGGGCCTCCTGCTGGCGCCACGCCGCCAGAGCACGATTTCTGTTCTCATCCTGAAGCAAAGTTCTTAACCTGAAGCACTATTTCTGGGTTAGCAGAGTCTGTAACCTGAAGCGTATGTAACCTGAAGCGTATGTAACCTGAGGTACCACTGTATCAGTATCTGAATGATTTTTTAAAAGAGGGGATATTGCCTAGCGCTCCTTCTAACGTTGGAATAGGTTGTGCAGGAGACGCATATGTAAAAGGAGATTCCTAAATGATGAAGCAAATGATGATTAGTGTTAGCACTGGTGCAAGTGTAATGCTGCACGGCGATTAACGTTGGAAAGGAATTTGCAACGAGAGGAGGAGGAGGAGGAGGAGGAGGAGGAGGAGGAGGAGGAGGGAGAGAATAGAGCGTGAGAGCCTGCAAGGCACTCCCAATTTTTCTAACGTGGTTTAGAAACTGGGAAATGTTCTGCCTGCCTTAGACCTCGATCATGCTATGCCAGATACCAATATAGAGCCTTCAGCTCATGCCTTCTGCAGCCGGGCAGAGACTTAGGGAGCTAACAAAAAAACAAAAGGAGAGCTCCACAGGCAGCGCGAGAAAGCAATGGGTGGTACACTGCGACAGGATGGGCTTTGATATAACAATGTATCTTTTTATGAAAATATTTATGAGAACTGAGAATGTGACTTTTGTTTTCATCATGGGGATCAGATAAGGCCACTCTCGCATTTGATTTTGTGTTTTAACTAAGAAGAATGCAAGACCTGAGACGGTGCCAGCCAAAAGGTGACATGAACTCAGGGGTGGAGCCCTTTTGTCAGGGCCACAAATGAACCGACCCTTTGAACTGTGGGTAAAATGAGGATAAAACTGGACACCCAAGGTCAACAGCACCACAGTCGCACAGAAAAGACCGGTGTGGCTTGTGGCTAGGGATGGTCAGATCTGTCAGTTCCTTCGTTACTTCATCTTATGTCCAGTTCTTCACATTTGGATACGCACGAAAATTCGCCAGCATTTTAGTGTGAATTTCTTGTATACATTTGTATGCATTTTCCCTTAATATATATGCAATTCCCTCTGCAGGAATGCATTTCTGTATGCAATTTTCACAAATGCATGCATTTTCATGGAAACTTTCCTCCAGCATATGCATTACTTGGCTGGAGAACACCATTATTATTATTATTATTATTATTATTATTATTATTATTATTATTGATTGGCCAGGGGGAGGCTGGAATCCTAAATGGAGGGCCGATTTGGGATAGGGATGTGTGCTTAACCCCTTATTTTCCTGCTCAAAATTCCCCCTCACCAACAGCTTTTCTCCATTCAGGAGAAAAGCTATAGGGACTCTAATAGGTGCTTTTCATTAGAAAAGAGTAAGTTGGTGGAATGTTACAGATGATTGCAAGGAGCATGTCATTTGGGTTTGAAAACCCTCTCTCTTAGCCATGTGCAGTGCAGATTATTGCGTGCTTATGAACACGCACCCCGCACTACTGTTTCTGTTTCATGCATTCCAGCACTCGCCACTCTGCTCACGGGTGTATCTGCAGCAAACCCCTTTGCTATGTAAAGTGTGAATAGTGCTTTGTGGACTGAAACCTTCGAGTACTTCATGGAAGAAACATGAACCTGCGGCCAACTTCCCTCACTGCAGCCCATTCCATATACGCCTGCCAAGATTTATCTGAAGTTGTTAAAAGCTGCCAATTTTTGTATGTTGCTTTTCTTTTTTTAAGGGAAAAGAAGGAGAGGAAGGGTGAAACGACAAGATAAAGTCCTTAATAAACACAGAGATAGTAGGTAAAACTTTCTCAAGTGGCTCCCTGTTTCTAATAATAAATATTTATCCCCGGAAAGCATTCTTTGTGGCATAGCGAAAGATTAGCAACTCGGGCTTTGCTATTGTTCGGGTGGTGATCCGAGGCGGTAAGATGTGAAATTCAAGTTGCCTGCAAAAAGAGGTGCTTCCCGTTAGCAGCCGAGCCCTCGCCCTCCTAGTGAAGAGGAAAGGGCATCATGTACAAAGCCTCGCAAAAACGATTATCCCCATATCTGTCAGGCTGGAGACAACTAGGACAAACAAACTCAGGAAGTGGCAGGGAGTTCAGAAACGAGAGGAAATCCATGGCAGAAGGGGGGAAACTGAAGAGATTGCGCTGATCCGAGAACCAAAGTCAACTCAGAGCCACAGCGTGCCAAGCTTTTAGAAGAAGCACTGCTTGTCTTATAATACAAAACTGGCACCCACAGCTGGCGATGGCTGCAGGGACGATTCAGATGTTAACATTCGGAATGATAAACAGCCTCCCCTCCCCCGCCCCCTGCACCCCCCCCCAAAAGAGAAAGAAAAAAAGTTCTGTGTAAGCAAGCAGAAACAAAACAGCCAATCCGGTTGCTAAGAGACATTGGCCCTCAGCCAAAATCAAACCAAGAGCCCTAAGAATTCTTTATTCCAGACCCGCAAAGAAAGTACCTGTAGATGACGCCATGTTGGTGGAGAAACATGAGTGCCGATGTGACTTCTGCTGCATAGAAGCGGGAGCGGGGCTCGTCAAATTTGCGCGAGCGCTGGATCTGAAACATTAGGTCTCCTCCATTGACATATTCCATGACGAAAAAGAGGCGGTCCTGAAATTCACGAAAATAGTGCTATTTAGCCGATTGCTTCCAGCCGCACAAAGACGCAGCTGTATGTACGTGGCACATTAGGAAATTAGGATCTGCATCCAGAAACGAAAGAAAGGAAAACCTGCACGTTTTAAGCAAGTTGAATGTATGGGTTTAGTTAACGAGCAACAGCAAATCACAGGACCCAAAAAAGTACTTGGAAAAACGATGGGTATTACTTTAGAATTGCTGCATTTATTGTTCATTTTTGAAAGATCCAATTTACCAGCTGTACAATTTACCAAGAACTTTTGCTGAAGCCTCCCGTAATCACGTGGTGTTTCCTTCCACCACGAAAAGTAATTCATGTGAAGACGGTTGCCATGAGCCATAGGGGAGTGTTCACAAGCCAAAACAAGCAGATTCCTCACCCTCCCACAATGGTGGAATGGGTCAGGGTTTCACACCCATAAAACCCAAGAACAGATAGAAAAGCCACTTTAAATTCTCATTTACGGAGAGCATTTTAAGCAGACACAGCAAGGTTCTGTGGGATGGAGGGAGGAGTCTGGAACCAAGGAGTCTGAAAGTCAAAGGCAGGTTCTTTCCTCTCTGCACCACTATGGCAGCCCTCCAGAAGAGGCACATGCTAGTCTGTGCTGCTCTCAGGCACCACCAGAGGGGTGGTACTGCATATTATAAATAAGCAACAATCAGGTGACAAAAGGGGCAAACCAACAGGATTCCAACTGGTCCTTTAAAGCCTCAGACATTTGCCTGGTTCCTTACTCAACCATGAAGCTCATTGGGTGACCTTGGACATGAAAAAGCACTGACCAAAGAATATACTCATTTTAAAAACGACTCTGTTTTCTATGCATTTGTAGTCTAAGAAGGGAACTCTTAGACTCAGGGGTCAGCGAACTTTTTCAGCAGGGGGCCGGTCCACCGTCCCTCAGACCTTGTGGGGGGCCGGACTATATTTTGAAGAAATATATGAACGAATTCCTATGCCCCACAAATAGCCCAGAGATGCATTTTAAATAAAAGAACACATTCCACTCATGTAAAAACACCAGGCAGGCCCCACAAATAACCCAGAGGTGGATTTTAAATAAAAGGACACATTCTACGCATGTAAAAACATGCTGGTTCCTGGACTGTCAGTGGGCTGGATTTAGAAGGCGATTGGGCCGGATCTGGGCCCTGGGCCTTAGTTTGCCTACACATGTCTTAGAGGCAGTTGTGGAAGAACCCTTGAAGTCCAAGGATTAAAAGCACGAATGATTACTAGTTGCAGGGCTGAAGTCCAGGGGTGCAGCCCAGAGCCCTGAGCATGCAGGGGCTTCCCACCCTCGCTCAGGGGAGGAGGGAATTGCTCTGTGCATTCATGGGCATTTTCCTTGGACTACAGAATTAGAGCCACAAGGTTATGGCCTAAGAGTGCTCAGCGGAAGTAAACAGGACTTCCCTTGTGGGCGGGAGAGTTCCGGACAGCGAGCACATCAGAGCCCCCCCACCAACTGGATCAGGGCCAGTGTCAAGATATCTGGAAAGAATGGTGAGGAGGAGGTTGGGATGAATATAGCCAGCCAGCAGATAAGTGGAGCCTAAGTCATGGAAGCATATAGGCCAGGGGTCAGCAAACTTTTTCAGCAGGGTCCACTGTCCCTCAGACCTTGTGGGGGGCCGGATTATATTTTGAACAAAAATTAAAAATGAACAAATTCCTATGCACCACAAATAACCCAGAGATACGTTTTAAATAAAAGCACACATTCTTCTCATGTAAAAACACCAGGCAGGCCCCACAAATCACCCAGAGATGCATTTTAAACAAAAGGACACATTCTACTCATGTAAAAACACGCTGATTCCTGGACCGTCCACGAGCCAGATTTAGAAGGTGGTTGGGCCGGATCCGGCCCCTGGGCCTTAGTTTGCCTACCCATGATATAGGCCATGGTTGATAATGAGACAATTTTATAATGGACTAGCAAGGCCTACTGCCAGAGATTTGGTTAACTATTTAAAACCAGCATGGAAAAAAAAATCAGGCTTTCTGGGCAGCAGACACACTTTTCCTCTTCTGCCTATTTTCTACACATTTGCTCTTGCCTCTGTACCTCTCAGCATCCCAACCTTCATCTTCTCCTTGCGTCCATGAGTTGGCTGTCTTCTTACACCTATGGCTGCTCTTTTCCTAGTCCTCTTGACTCCTCCTTCCCTAGTCCCTACAGGCCAGCCTTGCCCATCAGTAGGATACCAGCAGCTCAGCCAAAGGCAGCCCTAGAATCTACACCTCTTTGATGTCAGGGCAGTTCAGCCAATCACTATCACTACAGACCACGCCTGTACCACTTGTGATCCAGCAAGCTGAATGCAACTCCTCAGAGGCTCAATATTAACCCTCCAGCTTCTACTGTCTGCCTGGCACTGCCGAAAAACTCAGGATGGTTGTGCCTCTCGGCCAGAAAACAAGGCTGAGAGGCTCACAGTAAAGGCCTGATTTGGCTTGGTAGCAACAACAACAGACAAGTTTTCCAGGCCATTTCCAGCCCCCACTTTTTTGTCTCCTTGACTTTAAAATAGCCGGTTGTAATGTGACGGTAAAAGAAACACAACCAAAAACCAAAAACAGAAGGAAAACAGTTTTAAATAAAATTAATTACTTATCAGGGTGCATTGGCTTTGCAGAGAACATTTTCTTGTTCTCATTTCAGACTTGCCAAAAGGGGGATTAATCTGCAATTATTTTGTTTGTGAACTTTCCTCTTATTGTGGGTTATGCAATTCAGGAGTTCCCAGGGCTGCTTTACGGTACGGTGTTAAAAAATGACCACAATTTTGAACTTAAATGATACTTGGACGTATGTTATGGGGAGGTCTTCATCAATACAGTACACAAATGAAATATGTCACATCATTTTCCACCAAAAAAAGTACATTTATATTTTTTTCAGGCATTTATAAAATATTTTGAGTGCTGGTGTAATTTTTCCTGAAATCCTCATCCTCTTATCGAGCTCTGTGTAAAATTTCAAAGAGATCTGATCATTGGTTATGGAGAAAAAGAATAAAATGTACATGTGCCGAGGGTCTCAAGACGGACAGGCGACGCAGATTTCCTGAAATTTTGAAGTACTATACAATTAAAACCGTTTGAGATAGAGGGGGAAAAGAGGTAACGGGCCTCCCCTTGGAAACAAAGCCTTTCTCTCTCTCTCTCTCTCTCTCTCTCTATATATATATATATATATATATAAAATATCCCTCAACAGTTCTTAAAATCATAACATTGCAGAGTTGGAAGGCACCATAAGGGTCATCTAGTCCAACAGCCCTGAAATGCAGGAACCTTTTACCCAACTTGGGGCTCAAACCCATGACCCTGAGATTAAGAGTCTCCTGCTATCCTCCGAATGAGCTATTGCAGATGGGGAGTTAAAAGGTCTCTATCAGGCTCTATGGGGAAGCTCCTTTGTGGATGCACTGCCCTTTCTTGAAAGCCTCAGTGGTTGCGGCCTCCTTATAGATCTGCTAGGGATTGAGGAGAAATTTACTCAGTCTGCGTCTTAAAGTGAAGTGGCCGAATTCTCTAGTCTTGCAATGATACGTGAATTAGAATGCAGCTGTCAATTGAATTACACACTTCTCTGAATTCACCAGACAGTTTCATCTGGGAGGGTGTGTGTGTGTGTGTGTGTGTGTGTGTGTGTGTAGTACACAAAATGACATTTTATGGGAAATTACGTTAAAAATGCATATTAAGGAAAATGTATTAAAAGCATACAATGCACTGAAAACTGTACAGTGGTACCTCTGGTTACAGATGCTTCAGGTTACAGACGCCTCAGGTTACAGACTCCGCTAACCCATAAATAGTACCTCGGGTTAAAAACTTTGCTTCAGGATGAGAACAGAAATGGTGCGGCGGCAGCGGGAGGCCCCATTAGCTAAAGTCGTGCTTCAGGTTAAGAACAGTTTCAGGTTAAGAACGGACCTCCAGAACGAATTAAGTTCTTAACCTGAGGTACCACTGTACTTTAAGGGGAGAATGCATACAAAATGCATACTTTAGGGGAAAGTGCATCTCATTTAAAAGTGATTCCCTCCTTATTTATTTATTTTTTTAATCCGCAAGAAATGGGATTGCAAAACTGACAAGGAATGGAAATGGGCTGATTGCCCCTAGCATGACCACCTCCTCACCCATGAGAAAAGCGTGGAGCACATTATCATTGCTTCCAGGACTCCCTAAATGTAAACCACCAAGAATGGAGATGGGCACTCCTAAGGAGAATTTATGAGTGATGACCAACCGCTTCCTGCAAGGAGGAATAAATATCCGTGCCAGTTGGTTTTGCTTTCCCCCAAGACTGTCCACTAACCCTTCTCTGTTTACACACGCAGAGATACCATCAACAGGGGAATGAAACTTCACATAAATACCAGACAAAAAGGTAATGTCTTTCATGCATTGTTTTCAGCCTGAGAAACGTTCACTGTCCGTCTGCATAAAGAATATCCTTCCCTTCCCACCTCCCCCTGAATTCTAACAGAACCTAAGCTGCCCTTCCTTTTGTTTATTTGTTTTTCCACTTTTTAATTTAATATCGCTGTATTAGATTACGGTTGTGACGAAAAGCACACTTAGTGGCGAGGAAGAGGGCATGTGCAGGGATAGCTAGAAAGCCAAGCGAGACTCTCAAGTACGTTTCTGAGAGCTGGGCGGCCTGTCAGCCATGTGGAGACAGCTTGATTAGCTGAAACACCACGGAGCAGGAATCAATCACGCAATGTGTTTCCCACTTTCAAATCTGAGACGTGTGTCCGTGCTGTGCGTCAGGCAAGCAACATTGTCACCGCCGGCCCCCGACGCGAAGAACTACCCTGGCCCACAGTTCAAAACCCTGAACCAGGAAAGGCATCATACACACACCCCTCCATAACTAGAATTCACAAGCAGATAAGACTTATCAGCATTCCCCAAGTGGCATTTTTCCCTTGTTTAATGTTTC